CTTGCGCCCCGGGCGCGGCGCTGCCCTCCGCCCCGGCCCAGCTTCAGCTTCTCGGCGTCTAGATCCAGCTCCGGTTCCTACGCCGGGTGCAGCCCCGGCGGCGATGGGCTGAAGCCTAGCCGAGCCGGTCACTGCTATTTATAGGCACCAACGAGCACCCAGTGTGAGCGGGCTAGAGGGACCTGTCAGCGTCCGTGCGGCGCAGCGACTCCTTGCCGCCGGCGGAAGGAAGTATTACGTTCCGTAGACAGAGAAAGGAGAGGCAGAGATGGCACACACAAAAAAGTCCTGGATTTATAGAGATTCTATCCAACAGAGGTAAAATGCTTTACTATTTGCAAAGCGCTTTCACACCCACACCCGCAGTCTCATAAGGCTTCCCATGAGTCTTGTGAAGGATATATTATTATCTTATGTATTCAGTTACCACGTGACCTTGAGCAAGTTGCTTAACCTCCCTGTTCCAGCTTTTTCCTCTGTGAAGTGGTAATGGCAGCAGTACCTCTCAGAGGCTCACTGAGACGACCAAATGCGATCGTCTGTGCAAAGGGTTTAGAATAGAGCCCAGCACGTAGAACTATTATTATGGTTTCAGTTTTGCACAGGAGAAAATGGGTGAAAAAGAGTTCCTTAGCTAGTATGTAAATAGTTGTATTCGTTTGCTAGCGCTGCTGTAACAAAATTCCACAAACTAGGTGGCTTAAAAAAAACACCCAGAAATGTATTGTCTCGTATTCTGGAGGCTAGAGGTCTGAAATCAAGGTGTTGGCAGAGTTGGGTGTGAGGGAAAATCTATTCCATGCTTCCAGCCTGAAGTGCTTTGCTGACAATCTTTGGTGTTCCTGACTGTAGCAGCGTAACTCCTGTCTTCACATGGCAACCTCCCTGTGTCACTGTCCCTGAGTCCAAATCTCCCCTTTCTATAAGGTTACCAATAAGACTGGATTAGGGATCCACCCTAATGAACTCATCTTGACTTGATCATCTTCAATAACACTGTTTCCAAATAAGACCACATTCATAGGTACTGGTAGTTTAAACTTCAACATCTTTTGGGAACATACAATTCAACCCACAGCAGTAGTGGAATTGAGATTTCAATGTACAGTGTTGGTTGGAATTGGTAAGATTCAAGAGGTCATCGTTGTACACTGGAATCATTGTAAAATTTTTAAAAACAACCATTGACTGGCCCAGCCAGCATGCCTCAGTGGTTGAGCATCGACTTATGAACCAGGAGGTCACAGTTCGATTTCTGGTCAGGGCACATGAATTGGTTTCGGGCTCGATCCCCAGTAGGAGGCATGGAGGAGACAACTGATCAATGATTCTCTCTCATCACTGATGTTTCTATCTCTCTCTCCCTTCCTCTCTGAAATCAATGAAAAAATTAAGAAATTACTGAAATTCTGGCCCTATTTTTCAGAAAAGTAAATCAAGGCCAAGAAAGTCAAGGTGACTAGCTCCAAAGGCATTCGGTTCAATTTAGCAAATATTTACTGGGCCTCTTGGCAGGGCTTTGTGCTGGGCTCTGGCAACACAGAGATAAGACATGGGAGGAGGGAAGTGGAAGTGATTGGGAGGGGGCACACAGTGGGCACAATGAGAGCTTCTAGGGTGCTGATAATGTTCTATTTCTTTACTGGGTGGTGGTAACAAAAGTTACACAGATGTAGTTGTTTTGTGATAATTCATCGAACACTCATGATTTGTGTGCTTTCCTTAAGATATGGTATCCTTTCACAAACAGGTATATTAAAATAATAGAGTGATGTGATAGTGACTGAGGTGTTGACATTAAACTGAATTCTCTGTACCTCACATTCTCCTGGCACAGGTCCAGCCACTTGAGAGATGATAGAAGAGCCTAGAGGAGTCTTCAGAGAAAGCCAAGGACCCCGTGTCACCTGGGAGCAGGTGAAAAGAAAACATCAATTATACAGGAAATAACCGAAGAAAGAAATAGCTTTTAGTGCAAGAATCAGAATAATGACGATAATGCCTCACAATGGTTCAGTCCCTTATAGTTCACAACCAAATGCCCCGGGTTTATCAATGACCCAAGTCCTGGTACATAGTGACGGCTCAATAGATAGTAGCTATTATTAATCTTCATTTTATAGATTAAAAACACCAGACTCAGACATGAAGCCATTTGGCCAAGGTCACACAGCTATTAGATAGCAGATCCTGAACTCAAGTCAGCTTTCTAGTGTCTGAATCCAGAACTACTTCAAAACACCACAGGCAAAAAAGAGAGGGGAAGGGTGGGGCTAGTAGAGGGACTCTCCATAGGTGACATGAGGTCAGAACCCTGAGACCTCTAATCCTTTCCAGTCTTGACCTTTCCAGTCTTGAGGGCGATGTTCACTGTTGTGCTCCCATCCTCCCTACTCTCTGTCTCTCCCTCTCTGCATTCTCAGTGACTCCTTGGTGGGTAGCAGATCCCATGAAGTTCAGCCCTGAGATCCTCCATAGCCTGGAGAAGGTTGTAACAGCATGACAGAAAATAGGAAAGAGCACTTGGGAGAAATTATCTAGGCAGTCCATGGCCAAGATCCAGCCCAGACCAGGCAGTATAGTATAAAAGTTAAGTATAGGCGTGGACTCATGTAGATAGCCATATTACCTAGTTCAAATCCCAGCACCGTCACTCACTAATTGTATGACCTTCGGTAAATCAATCAAACCCCCTGTTCCAGTTTCTCCCTCCATAATCTGACAATTTCATGGGCTGTTATGAGGATATTAACCAATGCACTTAGAACAGCACCCAGGAACTACCTGATTAGCTATCATGAATGAAATGTATGTCACCTCTATCAATGATGGGCAACCTCTATCATGCATATAATGTACTAGAGGCCCGGTGCACAAAAATTTGTGCACTCGGGGTAGAGGGGGTCCCTCAGCCCGGCCTCTGCCCTCTCGCAGTCTGGGACCCCTTGGGAGATAACGACCTGCTGGCTTAGGCCTGCTCCTGGGTGGGTGGCAGAGGGCAGGCCCAATCCCTAGGTGCAGCCCCTGGTCGGGCTCAGAGCAGGGCCAATTGGGGAGTTGGGGCGCTGCCCGCTGTCATGCACAGAGCAGGGCGATCAGGAGGTTATGATGCCACCCCCCAGTCACAGGGTAGGGCCGATTGGGGGGTTTGGGCACCACCCCCTGTCACACTCAAGGCAGGGTTGATGGGGAGGTTGCAGCGCCACCCCATGTCATGCACAGAGCAGGGCCAATCAGGGGGTTGGGGCACTGCCC